TTGAAAATTTTGAAGGTTTTGCAGTGTTTGGTGCAATTATACGTTATGCGATTTTTTGAAAATCAGGATCAGTGTAAAATAATTCAGCAAAGTTTCTTAAAAGAGTCTGCAAAAATTAGGAAAAATTGCATTGACTTGCAAAAGGTTTGCCTATCGGCTGGTCAACAGAGCACCTCGAGAAGTCCAAAATGAAAGTTTTGAAAATTAGCGAAAATCAGACATGGGAAATGAAGGGTTGTAAGTTTTCGCTATTATCTCAGCGCTCTTGAAAGCAGTCGCACCGAAAACATAGCAGCTGAAAAGAAGAAGAAATTCTGCATAGGATCGTGCTTGCAGCTTTCGTTTAACTTTATTGTAAGGGATTTACGGTTGATCCAAAAAATGGAAAGAACTTTTGCACCGAACTAATATGTTCAAAATATGGATATACTTCAATCGCTTTAGCCTCAACCGTAGTGCTGTTTTCTTGGGATACATTACTGTGAACGCACAATGCAAGCACTATGATTTTATGGGGGGACGTTCACAACTCTCTGACGAAGTTACGCAGAATGTGATAAAAAAGCAAAAAATACTAACGAAACTACTTCCTTGCAGTCATAGGTTTGACTTTTGAGACACCCTGTAGAGTACTAACAATAAGATGGAGACTGCGACGATGTTCAACAGTTTGAGCACGAAATGGAATCTATAAAAATCCGAAGATTCACTAATTAAATACTCTGCAGTTTAGGCAAGAAGAAGTAAACAGTGTAAAGCATGGAAACTTTCAGGGATCCAAAACTACTTGAAAAGTGTTAAGTTAAATTCTGTTGTAGAATGCGACAAATGCGAAGGGACAGAATGGACTTGCTAAATTGACTGCAGATCATCAACAGATCAGATCATCAAATTAGCAGATCTGATTCACGGTAGTGACTGCTTCAGATAATATGTCAACGTTGGTAAGCTAGTACAGTCTAAGCCGCATTCGAATAAATCGAGAAGACAAAGAGAAGACTTCAAAATGGACATGGAATAACCGTCACATACACTACAAATATAATAAAATAAATTTATTCAATGATTATGACGTGTCTATAATGCATTTTTCTAATGGTCCTTTTCTTGAGATCCGTTTCTTTATGCAACTGATAACAATCCAGTAAGTGCATGGCCTAATTTGCCAACAATCAGTTCATCGCTCTCTTTTTCCTTCAGCTCAGCAAGGAACTGTGACTTGTCTAGTGAGTAGATGTCCCTAAAAATTTTATTATCCAGACTGACTTTTATTTTTTATATGGTTAGCATTACCTATTTACTGTAACACCGCAAATTGACTCCATTTGTCCAAACTGTTTCATAGTCGGCTTCGTAAATTTAGCGAATGGACGGAAGTCGTCAAAATTGGCAGGGGTCTCACCACTAGGTCCTCCACCATTGACATTCCAGTACCTATTTTTGCGAATTAGGTAATTTTTCTCCCTTTTGTAAAGGTAAGAACTCACCATAGCATAGCTCCCTCGACAACAGCACCCTTAGTGATCTGATTCCAGTCGTAGACATTTGTGTAGAAACCAATTCTGACGCCGTAGTACTAGAATATGAAATTTTATGGAAAATTTTCAAGGATCCAATTTTTCGTACTTTAGCCATGGCTATGATATCATTGAGGAAGTAAATATTTTCGTTACTATTGGATCCCCAGTTGACAGGCGAAGTTACCTGGA